GTGCATGGAAGCTTCACTTTTGCTTTTGTTCAAAAAGTGATAGTCTACACCTGCAATTTTATACTTGAGGCCTTGGGACTTTTCACTGGAGTTACTGGAAGATTTCCTGACTAGAAATTGAAAACTCAAAGAATACCAAGAAATGAACAAGTTGAGAAGCCCACTCTTCGTTTGCCCTTCCAGATGTTTTCGTACTTCTCTCACTTAACTGCTGCTGTAACTCAGGGAAGCAAGAATTCCTCATCTTTTGAATGAGGAAGCCAAGGCTTAGTGAAATTGACTTATCCTGTAAGTGGAACTGGAATGTAAACTGAGGCTGATGAACTGTGATGCCTGTGCTCTTTTGTTTTTCATTCCCTTAGGGTGGCTAAAAAGCCTAGGATTTAAACATCCTTTGCCCTCTTAAGAACATATACAAACAAGCCAATTATGCCAAGTTCACTCGCACTTTCTAGTTCATTCCTTCTTATCTCACTTCCCTGGCTCTTCCATTTCCCAGAGGAGAGCCCAGAGTCTGATATTTTTGCAGCAGCTGAGATAGGCGGGTAGGCTACACCTCAAAGGGCATTTGGTGGTGTAAGGCCTTCACTCAGTCACAACATAGTCCCTGGAGTAAAAGCATATCCTCCAAAAGGCAGCATTAGCTGTTCCAACCAGCAATTAAAATAATAAACTGCTGCTTTAGTCATTTGGGTGAGTCACAGCAGAGGATCTGAATGCCTTTACAGAGCAGAGTGGGAACTCTCTGGCATGTATGCGAGGCCCTGCTGCTAGTGGGGTGAGACCCATGTAGGGCTAATACTGTGCTGGCACGAGCACCAAGAGATTTGTACTGGGGAGCATTAGAAAGGTTCGGGACCTTGAATGCCCTGCTCCAGGAGGCAGAAGCCAATTTATTCTACTAGCAAGCCGCCTCTGAGTTTTACTGGGGTTACTGCCCATTCAGCAAATCCAATCTCCCAAGCACCAACTTCCCTAAAAAATGTGGCCAAGTCCCTTTCCTAGGGTACTTCCTGGATGGCTATAAAACTGCTGTTATCTTTGAGACTTTCCTACTCCCAGAGGGCTCTTCAGTTTTCCAAAATGGGCCTTCTTCCTCCTAATGTGCAGATCTATTTGTTGGGTGGCCACCCAGAACATCTGATCCTGTGCCATAAAAATAAGGGTGGATGGAACTTCTTCTTGAGCCCACACAGACCCCAGGGTTAGTAATATACATGTTCTACACAGCAACAGCCCTTGTGGGAAAGAAGGCCCAGCTAACCTATAAAATACATACCAACACAGAACCAACTGTGCCATCTATTGATGTAAACAGCACATTACATGCATGCTAGTCAGCCAGCCAGATAAACCAAAAGAATGAAGACAAAAGAACATTGGAAACAGTTTCTTTCTTAGAACTCTCTGTATTCCTCTTCGTATAACATAAGGCTTTTGAAAAGTTACTGTTTAAGCTCACTAACCATTCCCCTGTAGCACCCCAATTAACTAGATATCAAGTTTGATCCAAAGGACTGACCCTACTTGGATGTATTCTAGAGTAGCAGGACAGATGGAAAGAAAGAAAAAATAGTCAACTGTGACCATAAACATAAAAAGGTTGAAAAATTATGTCCAGATAAAAAGACCATAGGGTAATAAATTTTTTTCTTCTTTCTACTTTTATTTTTCAAATTTTATTTACATAAAAATATTTATCTGGGTAGCAAATGGGTATTTCAAGAAAATACCAAGCGCACAGTTTAATCCATTCCCACAGTGCAGTGAAGGTGCTTGAATGAAAAAAGGGCCAAAGGTGCCCCCGTGTGGCCACAGAGGAAAATGCTGTAGTTTAAGATGGAGGGGCTACTACCTTTTTTTTTTTAGTTGATTTGAGAGAGAGGAAGGGAGAGGGACAGAGAGTTAGAAACATCAATGATGAGAGAGAATCATCGATCGATTGATCGGCCCTCTCCTGCATGCCCCCTACTGGGGATCAAGTCCACAACCCGGGCATGTGCCCTGACCAGGAATCGAACCCTGACCTCCTGGTTCATAGGTCAGTGCTCAACCACTGAGCCACGCCAGCCGGGCGCTACTACCTCTTTTTAAGAGGCCTTGGGTTTTCCATCTTTTCCACACCTTGCAGTTGTATTACTTGTAGAAGTTGGTGTAATCACATCGTAAGCTTTGAATTATATCAAGAGGAGAGATTTCGTTTTATATATTCACACACACACACACACTAAAGTTTTAAGTAATCAATATGAACCCTTAAAATTAGTGAAAACTCTACCACAGAGATGCCAACCCTGCTAGGACATGGAGCATTGCTCTGGTAAGTGAAAAATCAGGCAAGGATGTGGGGTGAGGGAAGCAAACTGTTGGAAGCAAAACAGATTCCAAAGAACAAAAGCAGCTTTAGTCCTCCTTGGAAAACAAGTTCAGCTTCTGTTACCATTTGAGTTATAGGAGATCAGAAGCCAGTGCCAGGGACCAGAATAGAATTTAAGATCATACCACAAAGATTTAATTCCATACCAATCCATCAATATGAACGTGACCTCCAGACATTTAAGGCAAGTATCATTCAACACGATACATGGGTCAATAACCTTTTAAAAAAAATGTTTTTATTGATTTTGTTTGAGAGAGAGGAAAGGAGAGAGAGAGAGAGAAAGAGAGAGAGAGAGAGAGAGAGAGAGAGAGAGAAACATCAGAATGGCTGCCTCCCACATGCACCAGGACCAGGGAATCAAGCCCACAACATGAGCATGTGCCCTGACTGGGAATCGAACTGGCGACCTTTCAGTGCACAAGACAAAGCTCAACCAACTGAGCCACCCAGTCAGGGCAATCACCTATTTGTTTAAAGAAAATAAATTGCTCTTTCCCCTATACCAAAGTTATATGCTATCACATCACATATCACACAATTATAAAGTACATGCATACCTAAAAGAATTTTTAGATGTCTTTTAAAAATGTTTTCAATGGCCCAGCCAGCATGGCTCAGTGGTTGAGTGTCAACCTATGAATAGGTCATGGTTCTTCAATTCCCGGTCAGGGCACATGCCCAGGTGGTGGGCTCAATTCCCAGTGTGGGGCGTGCAGGAGGCAGCCGATCAATGATTCTCTCTCATCATTGATGTTTCTATCTCTCTCTCCCTCTCCCTTCCTCTCTGAAATCAATAAAAATATATTTTTAAAAATGTTTTCAATGTTCTCATTAGATATCCAAATGCAAAGAAGACACTCACAGCTCTAGCAGTGGAAGCTTCCCTTGTCACATATCTTTTAAACTCTAAGTGCATTGACAACACCTATAAAACCTCCTCCATGACACCAAGCCTTAAACCTGGGACAATGAAACTTGCACACATCTTTGGTGCCTCCAGTTACATAGCTTATTCTCTGGGAATCTCTAAGTACTAGATCTAAACAAAGGCTAATACTGTGCCTGAAATATATTTTGATCAGGCAAGGAGTATAAATACATGCACTACTGTTATAACATGGAAAAATACTTATAAGGTATAAAATGAAAAAAGCGTAATATAAAACTAAATACACCATGAGTACAACCAAAGTTAAACCCAATCACACACCCCATCTACAGAAAGAGAGACTAGAAGGAAATACTAAAACACCATTAGTGGTTGCGTTTGAGAAGGTTGAGACTAGGAGTGACTTTGTTGCTGTTTTCTTTCACTTTTCCAAATCTTTAATGAGCACATGCTAGATTCTTTTTTTAATGACACAAACAAGCAAAAAATAAATACTTATTGGCCACTAGTTGCCACCTAACTCAATTACCCTACAATTCTATCAAGACAGAAATTTACCTTGGTTTGGGTCTGGCTTATGATTCAAATGTGTCATCAGAGGTCAATACAGCAGGCTGGTGTGGGTGAGCACAGGAGATTATTGGACCAGAGGAATCCAAGGCTATGCATTAAATCTTGGTTCTGTGTGACCCTAGGCCAAGACTGGTCTCCTCAACCTGTCAAATGAGAGGTTGGACTAGAACAGTGGTTCCTAATCCTGAGTGGGTTACTGCCTAGGCCAAGACTGGTCTCCTCAACCTGTCAAATGAGTGGGTTACTGCTCTAAGTCAGGAACCCTTCTCTCCAGGAACAAAACGAAACAAAACACATATGCTCACAGAGCTTTTAAAAACAACCCAGGCTTGGCTGGCATGGCTCAGTGATTGAGTGTCGACCTATGAATGAGGAGGTCATAGTTCGATTCCTTTCCTCTCCGACATCAATAACATTATATTAAAATTTTTTTTAATAAAATAAAAAAACCCCAGGAGGTTTATGGATTCTCTTGAGGCTCACAGACCAGGTTAAGAACACTGATGGGTTACTATGTTATCTTCTGCAGCTGTTTCCATCGCTACAGGGAGGTATAACATAATCCTATTTTCATTTCCTGTATCTTTGCTGAGGGCCTGGCCTAGCTACTGGCAAAATATGCCAAGGTCATCAGTATTCTGCCCTAACCAATAGCCACCTTTTTAAAGCGTGGCTTAACTATTCTGCTCCGGTCTTCTTTGTAGGCAACAAGGGACTCTGTCTGGCACCATACTAAAAAAAATTCAGTCTAAATAGAATACCAGGCTGCTGAAAGTGAAGCTCAGCAGAGAGTAACCAAAACACCAAGAGAACAAAAAATGAGACTCCTTTTGCAGAGGCATTCCTGCTGAACCCTGACATTCCAATTAGAAACGTGTTGTAACAACATGGTTATCCTGGCCTCAGAATTCTCCTATGCTGCCCTGACTGGTTTGGCTCAGTGGATACAGTGTCGGCCTGCGGACTGAAAGGTCTCAGGTTCAATTCCGGTCAAGGGCATGTACCTTGGCTGCGAGCACATCCCCAGTGGGGGGTGTGCAGGAGGCAGCTGATCGATGTTTCTTTCTCTCTCATCGATGTTTCTGACTATCTCTCTCCCTTCCTCTCTGTAAGAAATCAATAAAATATATATATATATATATATATGAAGAATTCTCCTATGCTAACAGGTAGGTAAGTACAGAGGGGATTACTAAGGAACCAACACCAAAGTAGTAACTGATCAGCTACAACTGATCTGCCAATAGATGAGAATTTAGGCAACATAACTATCTTGCTCCATTTCTTATTTTTATCATCATTCACCCATTCAAACTCAAGAGTATATTTCCCCAACCCCAGGATTCAAACAGGATGGACAGTTTTCAATTCAGAATTACTCTTATATTAAAAACAAAACAAAGCTCCATTTCAAATGTCATATACTAGTAAAACTACTACAAACAGTACTTTCAACAGGTTGGAGGTAAGGGTATGGCTTCATTCTGTTGTGTCTCAGTCACTCATATCTGGGAGTTTTGCTTATCTAATTGTTTCTGGAATAAGCAACATCAAAACGGACATGAGTCAGGAATGTGACGTTTCCAGGCACTCCCCAGATCAGCCCCTCTTCTGGCATTACTAAGCTTCCTCTCCCTGACTCTCCCACCATCTACCATCAGGCCAGTTCTTTTCCTAGGACTGACTCAGGGGCAGTCAATCATATGTACCCAGAGAAAGTCTTCAGTCTTCAAGGTGACACTAGAAGAGGGCACAGAGCCTATTTGCCCAGGTGTACTGCCTCCATTTGGAGGATGAGAAAGCAGGATGCTCTGTACAGTTCTGACCCAGACCAGGTTCCAAAAATAATCCTTTTGGCCTCACAGAAGCAGTCTAAAGCTAAGGTAATCAGTTTAAATCCATTATGAGTGTTCTGATGGCTTTTTGTTGATGCTGATAATCACAATTCTTCCTCCTGAACTACCATACTACAATGACCTGTAACTTAAAAAAAGGGGGTTGGGGGAGGTCTAAAAATGAATTAATTTGTTTTTGTTTTTAAAGGTAATTCCACATAATGCTACCAATAGACCCATGGTAGAATTCCTCTTGCCACCCCACAGGCCACTCCAAGCAAGCTGCTTTATAGAACTTTTCCAACTGTGCAAGAAGTTTGGAGTTAACTGGCAACAAGCCTGAAAATCTGGTTACGTATATAGGTACAAAGCTGGTTCATCAAATCCCTGTTCTGACCCTCAACCCAGTGCATTTCAACTAGGGCATCATCTACCTCCTTCTTAATGTTTATCAAACACTTAAAAAGGTAATGTCCAGCCACTCCTTGGAGAGGGTGCTCTTTTTCAGACACTGGGTTGATGAGCTGCTCAGAAGCCTCTCGGTCCTGGGCTCCATTGCTAGAGCCTTTACAACTTTCCAAGACCTCCATGTCTCCCTTTTCCTCACTCCTTTCATCCTCCATGGGTCCTGGGTTTCCTTCCTGGAAAAGCGAATCCTGGATTGGGCCATGGCCCTCAACAGTGGCTGACTCGCCTTCCTGTAGAGCAGGCCCACTCTCTGGGGGGCCCTGGGCCAAATCTTGGCTACTGCCAGACTCTTCGGGGGTGAGCTTTTTCTCTTCCAAGGCTTGGATGACATCCTCAGGAGCTCGAGGAACTTCTCTCAATTGTCTCACTCGTTCTCTTTTCTTTCTCCTTAAATGAATCCAGGAGTTTTCTATGGCTGTTAGGAAAAGGCTAACTTCCCCCTTTCCACAAGGAACTCGTTTATGCTGGACCTATTTGGAGGAAAAAAACAGAATTTTATAGGAAATCATCCTCAAAACATTCCCCTCCCCCCTTTTTTTAAAGGAAAATAAAATAAAAGCTATAAGTACTTCTTCAATGTATATAACCAGGTACCTTAAGATCAGTGAGGATTTTTTCAATCCATGTCGTCACAACTACTATGCCTTCTTCCACTGTCCCCGAGCCCAAAGATGATGCTTTGAGGGATAATTCTTTCATCACAGACTCCAACACTACAAATGTGATGGGTTTCCTTGGCTTCTCTAATTTTCTTCGCTTACTTGGTGGTGACTAAAAGAAAAAGGAGTGGGAAAAGAGGGGAAAGTTACAGAAATAATTTAATGCATTATAATGAACTCAGGGAAATTTCCATGACTTCTATCAATCATAGAGCACTCCAAACACAAAGGCTTTTCTTTGGCATGTTTGTTATTATTTTTTTAAATTAATCCTCACCCAATGCTATGTTTCTATTGATTTTTAGAAAGACGGTAAGGGAGAGAGACAGAGAGAGAAAAACATCAATGTGAGAGAGAAACACCAAACGGTTGTTTCCTCACCTGCCCCAACTGCGGATCAAACCGAAACCCTTTAGTGTACAGGATGACATCCAACCCAACAGAGCCACCTGGCTAGGGCTGCATGTTTATTTTTAATACTTAAAATAGGTTTAACACCACCTCATTTTACAGAAGGGAAAACTAAGACAGAGAGGCTACATAACCAGCTCAAGGTCACATAGGTAGTAACTGCAAAGTTAGGATGTGAACCCAAACCCAGGTTCCTTCTGCTGCCATACCATGCTTCTGGCGATCAGTACATAACAACTCCTCTAATAAGTAAATATCTTTAATCTACTTGTTGTGCCCCAGATGGGCCTGTATGATTATTTCCTTCAAGGCAATTCAAAGACCCTGGAGGCACTGTGTTCTTTTCTATAAAGAACTGCATGGCTTAAAAGCACCAACTCGTAGTCTGATAATCACAATTCTTCCTCCTGAACTACCATATTTGTTTAAACTTGCTGAGGCTTGAAAGAAAGAAGCTGGTGAGGCATAGCTTGTGAGATCACATGCTAGAAATGACCAGGGTACCAGGATCACATGGGCAGAAGAGAAGGACTGGTGAATTTTGTCTAATGTTCAAGCCAATCCAGTGACCAACTAAGCACTGCCTCTTAGCTGGGGAGAGGGGACACCAGTACAGATGAGAACAGTGGATTTGAAAGCTGGTTCATCTTCCTGTTTCAAGCTTGGAAAGTGAATTATACTCTACCCACTAGAGGGACTCAAGTTCCATTTTATAAGCCAAAAGACACTGCTAGGAATTATTTCTTTTTTCTTCTTTTTTTTTGAATTATTTCTTTAAAGTAAATACTTACTAAATGTTTTTTTAAATGACTCTGCTAAGACCAGATATATTATGGACACTTTAAGAGACAGACTCCTACTTGTTGACAAAATTTATCAAAACTTTAGAAAAATTAAGATAATTCTAAGGTCATGGTAAAAATAAACAGGTGAGGAGTATAAGGAAAAAGGCTAAAAAAGAAACACCTAGTTTAGCTTTGCAGATCTTTTCCTACAAAAAGGAGTTCCTGATAATTGTGCTGCTAACTTCAGTTCTACCTAGAAACAGTGACAGAGCACATGCATATACACACACAGAAAGGTCCAAGTATTGGGTGAGGTCTTATAAGAACTAACCAGCAACATCATACCCCATACATAAACAACAAAATAAGCAGTTTATTCTATGCTATAAAACTACTAGACAGTATTTGTAAGTAACAACCTGTATTTTTCTCTATTATTCAATCATCCAGCATAAGAAACATAATTTCTAGTCTACAGAGAACCTAACACTTTGCACTAAGAAACTTAAAATACGATTATTAAACTCAGGAGGAAGAAAAATGGTGGTGTGTAGGAGGATGAGGCACAAGATTCGGATTCCGTAACAAAATAAACAAACGGAAACCGACTCACAGATACAGGGAACAGACTGATGGTTGCCAGAGGGAAGGGGGGTTAGAGACTGGTGAAAAAGATGAAAGGATTAAGTACAAATTGGTAGTTACAGAATAGTCACTGGGATGTAAAGGATAGCACAGGGAATACAGCCAGAGAGGAAGAAAGACAGAGAGATAGAAACACCAATGATGAGAGAGAATCATTGATTGACTGCCTCCTGCACATCCCACACTAGGGATTGAGCCCGCAACCCCAGCATGTGCCCTGACAGGGAATCAACCATGATCTCCTGATTCACGGTTGATGCTCAACCACTGAGCAACTCTGGCTGGACAGGTGTATTTCCTTATATTAAAAAATAAACAATAGAAGGATAAATTATAAAACTGTTAAACCCATGGAGCAGTGAGGGATTAGGGTGAGACAAGAGAAAGAAGCCAAACTTCTGACTATATCTCCTTTTAGATATTAAAACCATGTAAATATATTTTATAATTACAAAGCAAAATTAAGTAATACAAAAAAGGCCATCCCTAAAAATATAAAGTAAAATCAAACAAATAGAACCCACAAACAGGAAACATTCCAAATGACTTTAAAATCCAAAGGGGGGGGGGGAGATCTATTTTCATAAATCTTTTTGTTATTGGTAATGTTAATTTTGAGAACTGTGGTGAATCAGTGGGTCAAAAGAAATGAGTAATTATATTAGTACTAGAGGCCCGGTGCACAAAAATTTGTGCACTGGGGGGGGGGGGGGGGGGGG